GGCAGACAACGACAACGGTGTGCTCGCATTGCGATCAAGCATTCCATAGTCGTGCCGCAAGAGACCTACATGTTGCTCGGGTGAGTGGGATCGTCACTCTTTCCTTGACTGCTCTTCAAGATCCTTGCGCACGCCTCATCAGCCTCGACTCGCGCCTTGCCATCCTTGAACCCGAAGGTGCACCAGAAGAGCACGCACATCAGGTTCCAAGGCGAATCACTGGTTCGATACCGAGAGGCTGATGGCAGCTTTCAATGCCCGGTGGAAGGATGCCACTATCGCCATGAACTGTCGGTAACCCTCAAATCTCATCTCAGGCTTCATGAAAAAGGGACACCGCTTGCGCCGGCAGCGATACCGACTGTGACCAATGCGCATCTGCCTTCCCGACTCAAACCTGTTCGGACGCGCAAAAAAAAGCGCATGGTCAAGTTTGATCAACAGCACGGCATTGTCGGGGCTCGTATCTTCATGACAGACATTGGCTGCCTTCTGTCGCCTGCTTTCGAAGCGCTGGTGTGCACGCAATGTGGCCACGTGCTGAGCGGCAGTGTGCCTCATCATCTGCTCAAAAAGCACCATGTCAAGTGTAAACAAGAAGATATCGACGCAGCGACGGCACTCCTGCGCTCTCTGCAGCCCGAGGAGCCACCTTTTGACTTTGAGGCAGAAGCTGGGCCTCTTAAGCCGATTAAAGGCATCCCCATACTGGACGGCGTGGGTTGCCCTTTATGTCAGGCTTGCTTCACCACAAAAGGCAGTCTCAAAAACCATGTTATGGCAGAACATCCACATGAACCAGGGGCCAAGCAGCCGCCTCGACGCGTCAAGCTGCAAAAGCCGTTGCGTGGTGTCGGGGCCCGCTGTATCGAGGTCATTGTTGAAGAAAGCCACGATGCCTCGGCAGCCGACGTCAGCGAAAACGAGGAAGAGCTGGAGGAGCAGCAGCGGTTCAAGCAGCTCATCTCAAGCACCCAAACCATGGCGTCAGAGGCCGAGGAGAAGCGCTGCCCGCACGGCGTTCACCAGATGCACCCGTTCTACGATAGCGTGGGCATGACGCTGATCCTGAACGAGCTGACCCCAGAGCAAATTCTCAAGCTGGGCCACGACACACCACCCGCACCACTTCTGTCGGGCATGCAAGAGCTCTTCTGGGAGGCCCACGAACAATTGTCTCAGCACGGTCTGGCGGCTGCTTCCGTGGCGTCCTTGTTCGAAGATGAAGAGTTTCAAGTTGAGCCTCAATCTTTACCCCAAGTATCTCCTAGCACGATGAGCAGATACCTGAACAATGGAGCGCGCTTGGTGCATTTTTTACTGCTACTGGACGCAATGCCAGCCCCCGAGCCATCCAGCTTTTTGAGCCAGGTGCTTGCCAGCCGTGGGGAGGCCATAACTACAGCTGCCTTGGCCGTGCAAGAGGGGCTGAATTCGGGACTGAGCGGGGCAGATCTTGTCGAGCCCTTGGCGGCACTGTGGCTGGCGCTGGTGAATGCAGAGCTACATCTCTTTGATAACGACAAGGTGCACTTTGTCAACGTGTTTTTGTTGTGCACGGCCGTGTCCAAGGGAAGCGGTGTCTTGCAGGACATCCGGCGCTGGACCACAACGCTGGCCGGCCTGATTTACATTTTCAAGCTGTTTTTGCTCCGGTTTGGCAAGGCACAGCGATGGGCCACTGCGGGTAAACTCAGGCCTTTTCTACAGTCTGGACGGCTGGTGCATTTTCTGAGCCAGCGCATGACGGCGGCTCGCTCTGCCAGCACGGCCGATGGGCAGGTTGGAGTGGATATTGATGTGCAAATGGACGGTGACATGACGGACGAGGCGCTGCACACCATTGTTTGTCAAGGTACTGAACTCAACGTGAAAGAGATTGGGACCGCCCTGGCACAGATGCGCAACGATATGAAGGAGGTCTTGGACACCCACCTCTTGCTGGGATCGGATCTGCGAGAGCGACATGCTCTCGAGTATGTCCGGCTACGGTCGAAGGAGGATCGGACCAACAGGGTCAAGAATTGGTGGGTGGGCCATGGCAGCCCAGCTGAGCAGGCCCTATTGGATCACATTGGCCAGACTCCGAGCTTGCGGCAAGAGTTTATCTGCCCAGAGCTCGGGCCAGAAGGAGCTGATGCAGAGCGGACCTTTCGAGAAGACCGCGTGCGGGAATGGCTTCTATTTGTGGGAAGGTTCAACCAGCTGGCGCTCACCTACACCCACATGGCTGGAGGTACGCTTGCGATCGAGCAAAGACTCTGTTTGAGAAGTTTGACATGCTAATTGTATCATTCTTACCTGTTTGCATTGGCCTGATCGCTTTGTTAGGTCTGCCACCTCAAGCAACCGTATATCAAGGGCTATCCTACAAAAATGGCGTGGGCCGGCAACGGGCCGTGTTTTTTGCTGAAAGGCAGCTCTCCATATTGACCCGTCTGGGTAAAACCCACGGGCTCTCTCTAGATGAGCAGCACACCTTTCGGTACATGGACGAGGAAGTCAGCAAGCTGATTTTCATGTATTTGCTCTTGTGCAAGCCTCTGGAGCAGATGCTAACCAGCTGGCTGGAGAAGCGGGGCGCTCTTCAAATTCCTCACAAAGGCGGCCGTGGGACCTATGACGATGATCAGGAAGAGGAGGATCTATTGGAGGACGAGCAGGATGAAGACCACATGAGCCACGACGATGGCATGACCTTGCGACGCGAGGTACAGGACGCTCAACGCCACTATAACAACAGCCACTTGCTCTTCAACATTGCGCCTCTGGAGACCATGCTTAGCCCAGCCTCCATCTACGCTGCCTTTCGTCGACAAATGACCACCTACCTGCATCAGCCTACGCTGGGAGTGGCAAAGTGGCGACACGCTGCGACCTTCTGGATGACAACATTTGTGACAAACCGGCTCTTTGCCGACCCCACGAGCACTTTGGGTAGCCTGATGCGCACCCAGGCACAGCCCTTGGGCAACATGGCCAAAGACTTCTTTGCTACTGCAGCGAGCAACCAATTGCAAGCCAAAATGTCATCACGTCTGATGCATCAGCTGGCCTCACAAAGCTGGCATGCCTTTTTGGGTCTTGACCGCAAGCGCAGCGTAGCCGAGCTCACAGCCGCCAAGGAAGCTTTGGATGTTCGCCACCCCATAAGCTGGAGCGGGTCATCAAAGCTTGAAGCAGACGGGCGCATCATCATGGATCCACGAGCCGAGCATGATGTAGCCTACATGACCCAACTGGCCCAGCAGGCACGCATCTCGTGGGGCCACGGCTTTAAAAGCCAAGAACAATTGGACCTGGCAGCGGCCATTGACCAGCATCGGGCCGAGGATGGCTGGCTGATTGTTGTCGCGCCGTTAGACATGGACAAGACGCTTTGTACCATGCCCGAACTGGGTTGTCACCCGCATGCCGGCACGGTGCTGTGGATTGTGCCTTTTGCGACCTCGGCAGACAATTTGCTGCGGCGTCTGCAGGCGGCTGGCCACAGTGCGCAAAGGTGGCTGGGCCCCTCAACGCCGGTAGCAACTGGCCTGGACGTGCTTATCATCACGACTGACAAGTTTGTTCGCGCGGGCTCTGACGCCCTGCACGCACGTGCTTGCTTCCAGGGCATTAGAACCGTTGTTCTGGACGAGGCGCACACGCTCATCTCTGATGCCAGCCACCGGAACATGATGGCTCAAGTCGGGGCCTGCGTGGCCTCTGGCGGATGGACCAACATCAAGCGCGTGGCCTTGACTGATACTTTATGCATGTGCGACCAAGAGCGGCTGTTTCGACAGCTGGGTCAGCAAGCAGGGGGCAAACTGTATCGCCTGGAAACGATGCGTCACAATGTGGAGCTGCGTGTGCATCATGGCGACCAGCGGGCCTTCTTGTCGCACGTGCAAGGTCTTGTAGACAGGCAGCGGATGACGTGGCAGGAAAATGAGGAGCGTGTGCACATGATGGTCTTTTGCGACACGGTGAGCGAGGTCAAGCTGCTGTGTGATCAGCTGCACGCACGCGGCTATGCAGCCTTGCCCTACTATGCAGACTTGGAAGAGATGGCGCAGAAGGACCATCTGGCGCAGTGGCAACGGAGCGAATGCGACGTCATCGTGGCCACCAGCTGTCTGAGCATGGGTATGGATCTGTTTACCGTCCGCCACGTGCTGTGGTATGGCAGTGGCCATGACGTGTATACCCTGGTACAAGTGAGTTGCTGCTCAAACGTTCATGGGACTGTCTCAATTTTTTAAAAAAAAAAATGAATTGTTCATTGAGCTAATGGTGTGCATGTAATCGGCCATAGGCATTTGGTCGGGCTGGCCGTGATGGAAAGGGCGGAGCTGCCGAGCTGTGGCTGCCAGTCAGGTGCACCCCAGCACCAGGCATGGAGGCCTTTGTCGAGGGCAGTGTGTGTCGAAGGTGGACGCTTGGCAAAATGTTGGATTCCCGCGCTGCCACATGTCTTGCCACCGGCCAGGCTCTCTGTGACGTGTGCACGCAAATGGCACAGGAAGTGCAGCCAAGCATCGCCGCACACAGTGAACGTGTCGCTCAATCGGGCGAGACTGCACTGGAATCGGTGATGGCTGATGCATCGCCACGGTCAAGTGCTGAACGACTTGATGCAGATATCGAAGAGCTCAGGTCTGTGTCAGATTCACCCACGGTGTCAGATTCCGAGCTTCAGGCACAGCGACAGGAAGAAGCTCGGGCGCAGCCAGTGCAGAGCAGTGACACTCGTCAAGCTCCAGCATCAGGCGTGACGTTGGCCTCTGAAGCAGGCTTGGCCATGGCTGATGGTTTGCCATGGCCGCGTGCTGGACGACTTGACGAAGAGGTCGCAGAACCCATCATGTCTCTGCCAGCAACACCGACGGCATCTGACTTTGAGCTTGAGTTTGATTTCCTGACAGAACTGCAAGAAGATGATGCACCATGTTCTTCCGTGCCAGGTCTGCGGGTCAAAACCACGTCAGAGGGTGAAAGTGTGTCTCAGCCCGCAACAGAAGCTGCAGCTTCAAACGAGGCTACGCAGACTTCCACGGCTTTATTGCCTCGTCTTGGAGCACCGCTGCCATCTCTACCGGTACCTTCGGCCTTGCCGATGCGTTTGCCCGTCCCATCCGCTCCCTATGCCTTGCCACCACGGCCCAGGGCAAACGTGCCCTCGGCAGCGCTGCGTCATACGCGTGCCCGCGCTCTGGCGGAACGAACAGCTTCCCAAGCCTCATCCATGGAGAGCTCCTCTGACGGTGACGGCCCTCTTGATATAGACCCTGCCGCAGAGGCCGAGCCCACGCAGCACCCTTGCTCTTTGCTGGGCAACCAAGGGTCTGGACTATCTGGCGCAAACCCTGCATGGCCTTCTGCCAAACGAGTGGCATCTGCTACATTGCCCCCGGCTGCTTTATCATCGCGAAGAAGTGAGGCGGCGTCGATGCCACGCCTGAGATCAAACAAGCGAGCCAAGACGACGCGCTCGCGCCTGATCCACAAGGCGGCGGTGGACAAGTTTCTGGATGCGCTGAGGTTGATGCATGCCTATTGCATGCCATGTACCATTCGCCAGTCTCAAGCCGCCTGGAAAGCTCAACATACCTGTCCCGAATCAGACGACACGTGCACCCGGTGCCATCTCGCAGGGCACAGTGCCGATGAGTGCAACATTGATTTTGAATCTGCGACACGAGAGTGTTGCATCAGATGTGGCATGCCATCTAGGATTGGCGGCCACACCTTGAAGCATCTGCCGGGCTGTGCACTCGATAAAGGCCTTGGACGAGTCTTGAGCTCCATCGTCCTCCTTGCCGACTGTCATCCGCGGCTGCGCCAACTGGCCAAGCGGATGGGATACAATCTTCAGCCCGGGACGCTGCAGACGCGACATTTTCGCGAAAGATTTATCGCATGGCTGTACTCGGAAGACAAGCATCTGCCGGCAGGCCATTGGCACCTTGTGGAGTTTGTGATTGAAAGCGTTGAGATTTTGATCGGGGCAGCCGCGAGGGCTGTGATATGATAACAGAGGCGACAGACTTTTTTTTCAATGGTTGGATAGTATGATAGTGGGAGTATGAGGACCGAGACCACCATGATGCGTGTTACAGACCAAGACAATTATGCAAGTGTGTTTCAATAGCCACTGGGCTTTCTCTGTCATGCGGAATGAGCTGCGTCTTGCCAGGACGGAGCGCAAATTGACCTCACCTGCCTTGCCAAGTACTGTTTGAACGCCTGACACCTGGCATCTTGATGCTCTTGCGCCACATGCAAAAGAGTGCACGGATCCTTACAGGCTGACACGATTGACAGGAATACTGAATGATGCGCCAGCAGGCCTGAATCAGTCGTGAGATAGTGTACTTTGTAATTGCATCCAATATAAAGGATAATGAACCGTTTGGTCTTGAGACTAAAGTCATAAAGCTAAAATCATGACACATAATGTAGAACAAATCAGAGAAATTGAAGATTTGACTTTCTGTAGCAAACCTTGTGGAAATCGAAGAACTGAGTTGTATGGAAACGTGACGGCGTTTAGAAAAGACTCGAGATATTGTTGGCTTTGTGTGTGTGTGTGTGTGTGTGTGTGTGTGTGAGTGTGTGTGTGGTCACATTTTTTTTTTTTTTGATCAGTCCCAGGTCGAGGCATTGCTGTTGGCGGCGTGGTTCAGCGTGGGGCAACCATCAGTATAGGTGCGTGCAAACAGTACCCGAGTCATCGAGGATCCTGGTCTCGCACGCTTTCTGCTTGGCCAGGTTGGTGAACACCCCACAATGATGGCGGCCGGCATACAAGAATCAGATCGTAGCATTCACCTCCGTTTTCTTCCCATGTTCGGCCTCACCTGCTCGTTCGTAGGTGGAGCATTTAGTCAACCAGCCTGGACATTCGCAGACCTTGTGTTCCAATCGACACAAACACGCAACAGCATCTGGCACGGCATGGATGCTTCATCAAGCACTCAGGGTGGAGCGCAATCGACCCACACATGTCGATCATGCGCTCAAACTTTTACGACGCAGAAGCAGCAAGCGCATCATCAGCGCAAGGTAAACCTCGCGTGCTGCTCGGCGTTCGATTTCATTCTGTCTCGCTCTCACATCGCTTTGCAACCAACTTGTAGCGTCATCAACAAGAGTCGCGGATCACCATCGGTCAAAGAAACTTTCTTTTAAAACGAGCGGCACTCGATGGCAAATTTTGCTGTCCGATTTACGGCTGCAAGAAGCGCTACCCCAAGGCTGAGGGCGTGAGACGGCACATCAGAGCAAAGCACATGGCTATGGCAGAGAATACTTCTGCCGAGCTGGGCGGCATGCTCATTCACAGCCCTGCTTCGGAGATCAACAACGCTCCAAAGTCGGTCATTGGAGCGCCTAAACGCCGATATCCTCATCATCAAGTTTCCTTGGGCAAAAATGCTGATGCATCGCGCGCCAAAATGTATCTGGAATCGCTTGGTCTGGCTCTGGATGAGTACGAGTGGATACTGATTTGCGGCAAGTGCGGGTACGCATTGAGCGAACACCCAGCCCAGCACCTGAAGCGCCACTGCCTGAACGTAGAAGATGCAGACATATCGCTTGCCATGGACCTCATCAAGGAAGCAACGCCACGAAAGGTACCCAAACTCGACATGAACGGCTGCCGACCTGCGTACCCATGCATCCCAGTACATCGGGGCTATAGGTGTCCTTGCTGTACCTTTTGCTTTTCAACACGAGAAAGCCTGGTGCGACATGAACAATGCCATGCTGGTGATCCAGCCACCACTGAGGTGCCTCGAAAAGTCTGGATGCAGCGGCTCAGGAAAGGAGGACTGGGCTCAAGCTATGTGGAGGTCCAGCAACACAAGCCATCCAAAAGACCTCATGTGGACGCGCAAGCCTTTTCGCCTTTGCTCGAGGCTCAGAGAAAAAAGCACTTTGTTGTCAACTTGCGACGACTCCACCCGGTCTATCAGACCCTGGGCCTTGGGGTACTGCTTGACCGATTGGCACTCAACCAATTCAGAGAGCTGGGATTTAGCGAGATCAACCCGACGCTAATCACGTGCATGCATGGTCTCTTGTACAAGACGCACGAAAACACGTTACACGACACAGCGGCTCGCGAAGTTTTTGGACGACTATACACCAAATCGGGAAATGTGCTTACGACCCGCTTTTATCAAAAGGTCATGCAGCAGAGCTACGATCGCTACATAATTGTGGCTACGCGCTACGTGCAATACCTCTTACGAGCACGGCGCCGTGACAGCCAGCTTCCTGGTCGAATCAGTGACGAGCTGGCAAAAGCTTTGGACGACGTGGAAGTGGCCCAAGGTCAAAATAACACTGCGCTATCCGAGGCATTGACCCACGTGTGGTGTGCCATCCTTGATGAAAGCACGGACATGAACAACTTGGACTTGGAGTACTGTCCCACCATCTATATCCTTTGCACGACGGTGCAAGCCAACAACACCTTTAAGCAGCCAAGCAGCTGGACGCCAACGCTGGCAGCTCTGTTGTGGATCTGCCGCTTGTTCCTGCTCTTCCGCCGCCAGCTCGATCCAAATGGTCCTGGCGCGCTGACGGATGATACTGCTGTCAAGACGCGGTTGACGGAGGGCCGCATTTGCTACTATCTTGGTAGTAGATTGACCTATGTTCGCAAATGCACCTCGGAGGAGGGCAAATACGGTGTTA